CAGCTGTGATCATGGATGACACAAGTTCTATGATTAATGTGGAGGATCCCCTTGAGGCCGTGCTATTAAATCTTGATGTCAATGATGATGCAAGCAGAGTGGAGTGTGTCAATGCCTTACATGGGATGGGCTCTTATTCCTATGAGCCCAGAAAATTGTCTTTGGATCTTGAAAATCGAAAAACTCCACCAACCAAACCATCAATTGAGGAGCCACCGGTGTTGGAGTTGAAGCCGCATCCTCCACACCTCAGGTATGAATTCTTGGGCTCTAATTCAACTTTACCAGTTATTCTTTCTTCTTGCCTTACTAACATGCAGGTTGAGGCCACTTTGGAGGTGCTTCAAAGGCGAAAAAGGGCAATTGGATGGACTCTGGCCGATATTCGGGGAATAAGCCCCGCATTTTGCATGCACAAGATTATTTTGGAGGATGATGCAAGGCCCTCCTTGGAACATCAAAGGAGGCTCAATGAAGCAATGCAAGAAGTGGTGAAGAAAGAAGTGATCAAGTAGCTAGATGCAGGCGTGGTGTATCCAATCTCCGATAGCTCATGGACTTCTCCGGTGCAATGTGTGCCGAAGAAGGGTGGAATGACTGTGGTGACAAATGACAACAATGAACTTATTCCCACTCGGACCATTACCGGGTGGAGGGTTTGCATGGACTACCGGAAGCTAAATAAAGTGACCCGCAAGGATCATTTCTCGTTGCCATTCCTCGACCAAATGCTTGCGGGGCATGCTTTTTATTGCTTTTTGGATGGATATTCGGGTTATAATCAAATCTTAATTGCTTCGGAGGACCAAGAGAAGACCACATTCACCTGCCCATATGGTACATTTGCTTTTTCTCGGATGCCGTTCGGGTTGTGCAATGCTCCGGCGACCTTCCAACGATGCACGATGGATATTTTCACCGACATGGTGGAAGATATTTTGGAGGTCTTTATGGATGATTTTAGTGTGGTTGGTGATTCATTTGAAGAGTGTTTGGGAAATTTGGATAGAGTCTTGGCCCGATGTGAAGACACAAATCTCGTTCTTAATTGGGAAAAACGCCACTTCATGGTTGAATAGGGCATAGTGTTGGGTCACAAAATTTCTAAGCATGGGATTGAAGTAGAGAAATCCAAGATTGAGGTAATTTCAAGGCTCCCTCCCCCCACTTCTGTCAAAGGGGTGAGGAGTTTTCTAGGGCATGCGGGGTTCTACCGGCGGTTTATCAAGGATTTTTCGAAGGTAGTGAATCCTCTTTGCAAGTTGCTAGAGAAAGATGCTAAGTTTTTGTTTGATGAGAAATGCATGGAGGCCTTTGAATTTCTCAAGCATAAGCTGAACACCACCCCGATGATTACCGCACCCAATTGGAGCTTGCCTTTCGAGCTCATGTGCGATGTAAGTGATGCTGCGGTTGGGGCAGTGTTGGGTCAAAGAGTGAACTAAATGTTTCATCCCGTGTACTATGCAAGCAAGACTATGAATGAAGCTCAAAGGAACTACACGGTGACAGAAAAGGAATTGTTGGCTATTGTGTTCGCCATGGAAAAATTTCAGCCATATCTTATGGGAACCAAAGTCATAGTGCACACCGACCATGCCGCCCTTAGGTACTTGATGACAAAGAAAGACTCCAAGGCAAGATTGATGAGATGGGTGTTACTACTTCAAGAGTTTGATCTAGAAATTGTGGACCGGAAAGGTAGTGAGAATCAAGTGGCGGACCACTTGTCCCGTTTGGAGGAAGAAGGGAGGCCTTGTGATGGCCTAGAGATCAATGACTCATTTCCCGACGAACAACTCCTTGCGGTGTCAATGAATGATATGCCATAGTTTGCCGATGTTGCTAATTACCTTGTGACCGGAATAGTCCCGTATGAGCTCTCTTCTAACCAAAGGAAGAAGCTCAAGCGGGATAGTTTGGACTTCTATTGGGATGATCCATACTTGTTCAAGATCTGCACGGATGGTGTGATTCGAAGGTGTGTCCCGGAGAAAGAGCAATTTAGCATCTTAGAGGCTTGTCATTCCTTCCCCTATGGTGGCCATCATGGAGGGGTGAGGACGACTTCGTAAGTTCTAAGTTGTGGTTTATATTGGCCAACCTTTTTCAAAGATGCAAGTGATCTAGTAAAAAGATGTGATCAATGTCAACGAGCGGGCGGGATTTCCAAGAAAGATGAGATGCCTCTAAACACAATTCTTGAAGTTGATATCTTTGATGTATGGGGTATCGATTTTATGGGCCCTTTTGTTAGCTCGTGTGGTAACACTTACATTCTTGTAGCGGTTGATTATGTGTCAAAATGGGTTGAGGCCGTGGCCTTTCCCAATAATGAAGCTAGGAGTGTGGTAGCATTTCTAAAGAAGAGCATTTTCACAAGGTTTGGTACACCTAGGGCAATCATTAGTGATGGAGGATCGCATTTTTGTAATAGAGCTTTTGATGCCTTGCTTTCCAAGTATGGCGTCAACCACAAAGTCTCTACGCTTTATCATCCTCAAGAAAGTGGACAGGGTGAAGTGTCTAACAGGGAGATCAAGAGCATTTTGTCCAAAACTGTTAATGCCAATAGGACCGATTGGTCTAAAAAGTTAGATGATGCTCTATGGGCTTACCGGACCGCTTACAAGACCCCCAATTGGTATGTAACCGTACCGGTTGGTGTTTGGGAAAGTATGTCATCTACCAGTAGAGTTGGAGCATAAGGCCATGTGGGCCTTGAGGAAGCTTAATCTTGAGTGGGATGTTGCGGCCAATCTTCGTGTTGAACAACTCAATGAACTTGATGAATTCCAGTTCCATGCATACTCTAGTTCGTCCTTGTATAAGGACAAGATGAAGTACCTTTATGATAAATATGCTCGTGGAAAGGAGTTCAAAGTTGGTGATTTGGTGCTTTTGTTCAATTCCCGGTTACGTCTGTTTCCGGGAAAGCTTAAATCAAAAAGGAGTGGACCATTCGAAGTTGTGTTGGTGACCCCCTTTGATGCTCTTGATTTGAAAAACAAAAATGGTAAAATTTTTAGAGTGAATGGGCACCGGGTCAAGCATTATCTTGGGAAGTTTGATGATAGCCATGTGGTGGCTGTTGTTCATTTCAAATGATGTGATGGTAACCCGCGCCGTGCCGTGACGTTAAATCAGGCGCTTCTTGGGAGGCAACCCATGTGTTTTCTTTTTGTTTTCTTTGATTTTCTTTGTAGTATAGGATTGATTTTTGGGCTAATTGGTTGTGAGATGTTGCAGGGTTATGTTGATGCAGTGTAAGGCATGATGAAAAAAATACACAGGTCTCTGAAGTTTCCAGTGCGACCGCAGTACATTCTGTGCGGACCGCACTGGTGTGGGTAAGATAAAGCTTCTCTGAAGTTTGCCACCGCGGCCGCAGTCCATTTTGTGCGGTCCGCGGTGGACCTCTGCGGCCGCAGTCCATTTTGTGCGGACCGCAGAAGGTTGCCTTCTCAAACTTGTGCTAAACAAGGCAGTGCGGACCGTGGTCCATTTTGTGCGGTCCGCACTGGTAGTTGAGGCTGGGCCCCAGGGGCTTCTCTATAAATAGACCTTAAGGTCTCCTGTTACCCTTTTCGCTAACTTGAAGCTCAGAGCACCTGACTACTGTTCATCTTCTCTCTTAACCGTAACTCTTGCTTAGGATCATTAATCTTCATTTCATCTCTTAATCTGGTAACATTTCACTTAATTCTTCTTTGTTTAATTGTATAATTTCATTTTATTTTCATTTTTCTTAGATTATAGTTCTTCTTCCTCCCGTAATTAGTTCGATTTTTAGGTTAAGTTTTTTTTAACTTTGATTCATGAGGACTTAGGTAGTGTAATGGACTGGGTAATTATTTAGGGACTCTAATTAGGTAAAAAAATTGGACCTTAAAAGAAAAATCATGAACCCTAGTTTAGTGCCAAAACTGGGCACCATGTGCGGACCGCGGTTGTTTTTGTGCGGTCCACACTGGGGAGATTTAGAGGCTATGTTTTGCAAACCCCACACTAGTGCGGACCGCGGTCGATTCCCCGTGGTCCGCGGTGGTCCCTGTGCGGCCGCACTACCATTTTGTGCGGTCCGCACTGGGCACTTTCTGCAATTGTCTGCAACACTGCGACTCTGTTCTGCTGCTATAACTTGAACTGCCTTGATTGATACTAAAAAATACATTGAATGATGTTTGCAGACAATGGTGAGACAACAAGGAAAAGACTCAAAACAACCGGGAAAAGGAGAACCCTCCCGGGGAGGGAAGAAAAAGATGATAAAACTCACTCCCCAAGCTCGGGAAAACATAAAAAAGACTAGAAAAATAATCAAAGCTGCAGACAGAGCTGCTTCCCATTCCTTGGGGAGTGAGTATCAACCATCAACCGAAATTTCTTTAGACTCCGTGCCAGAATATGTTGAAGACTGGTCGGAGAGATTCAGGCTAAGAGATACTTCTCCACTATCACCCACTGCCCAAGCACTAGAGCATATTCCCACTGAGTCGTCTGAGGGCTCAGCAGCCGGCAGTGGTGACTACTCCACCTCCCCCACAGCTTCATTATCCGGGGAGGGTGCAGACGGAGGTGAGGAGGAGGTACAAGGGGATGAGGAGATAGCTGAAGGTGGTGAGCCTCAGGTGGGAGGCATTGCCCGCACTAGAAAGCCTGATGTTTGGGAGGATAGGTTTGTGAGCCAGGTGGCGTACCACAAGTTTAGGGAGTGGTGGCCGGTGAGAAAATTGATACCGGAAAGGAGTTTCATTGACAGAGATCTAGTACCCCACAACCCTGATATGCAAAGACAATTTAGAACTAGAGTGGGTTGGGAGTACTTTTTAGATGACTGTGTAGATGCTAACGAACACATGGTCAAGGAATTTTATTGCAATTTAGCCCACATCAAAAAGGGCTCAAAAATGACCAAGGTTCGCAACAAGACAATGTTGTTTGATGGGAAATACCTTAATGAATACTTGGGCTTCAATGAGGAAGATGAAACTTTGTACATGGCGAAGTTGGAGATGTGCGAGGAGGTCCGCCCATGGTTAGCTCAGTACCTGGCAATCCTAGGTACCGTTCCTGATTGGTTGACTGCTGGGGTCAAAATATTGCGGAGGACCTTGAACTTTGAGGTTAGGGGTTGGGAGACATTTGTTTGCAGCCGGTTGGATCCTACTACACATGACCAGACCCTTCCTCTCCACCGGGCTGTTTTGGTTGCTTCGATCATGGCGGGATACCCCATAAATGTGGGAATGTGATGTCCCGCATTATCTCGTTAGTGGGAGTGGAGCATGAGCGGAACTACCCTTTTCCTAGCACCCTCACCATGTACTTTCGGGACTTGAAGGTGGACAAGAAGCCCTACGACGTCAAGGTCAAGGTGACTGCCCCGTTCTCCTGGTACAGCTTGAAGGGGAATGACAACCCCAAGGACAAGAACTACAAAGCCCCTACTTCTGACCCAACTGGCCAGTCTGAAGAGCCAGTTGTGGTAGAGGTCCCTGCTGAGCCTACTTCCATTTCTGCTGATATGCCTCCCGGACCTTCCAGATCTTCAGCCATTCCTCCTGGCCCTTCCACATCAGCAGGCCCGGAGATCCCATCTAGCCGGGCCCATCCCATCACTGCCCACCGGCTGAGCCAGGCCCTGCTAAGTATAAACAACTGGATGCAGACTGCCTTATCCAAGTTGTCCACATTGACTACTACTGTAGCGGCTCAGTCAGCTCCCCCAGCCCCACAGGTACCCCAGTCAATCGAGGATGCGCTCAAAGAGATACTTGAGAACCAGAAGAAGATCCTCAGCACTCAGGTTGGGCTCACAAAGGCAGTGGATTCACATAGCAAGGCTCTCAAAGAGCTTGCTAAGGAGCACAGGAAGCTGCGGAAGACACAGGCCTCCAAGGAGTCCGTGAAGGAGCTGCGGGCAGATGTTGATAGACTGAAGGCAGACCACCTGCCTTTGGACCTGTTGCTTGATGATCTAGTCCCAGCAGCTCATCCACAGCTGGAGAAGACCCAGAGTCCTTCGAAGAGGAGGAGGATGATCCCTAGAGCAGATGATGCTATCATCCAGTTGGCAGACCCACCGGAGACCTCCTCCAGTCAGCCACAGGATGTACCAGTTCCACAATCTGTCGAGGTCCAGGCCCAGGTTCCAATAGCTGAGGAGCAGACCACCGTGAACCAGTCTGAGGTTCCCGAGCACACAGAGGACCCAGGGACCACCCATGATCCTATGCAGACAGATACGGCTTAGGGAGTCCTCTATATCCTTTTTGTATATCTTTTCGGTGCTTATTTAGACTAGTTGGCATTGGGGACAATGCCAACTTTCATTTGAGGGGGTGAGCCCTACATTTTGGATGACTGTATATATTGATACATTTTTATGCTTTATTGATTTTTCATCTTTGGTTTGTATATAATTTGATATTATCGCACTTTTATTTCACTGTTGGTCTGTATATAAAGTTACATTTCATTGTATATATTCATCCCGTCTATTGTATATTCAAATCCCCTCTTGTATATATTTATTTTATTTTCGCAAAAATTTTCGTTTTTAGCTTCTTATTTGTGATTCGTAGCTTTTTGTTTTCGGAGTTTTCAATAAACCTTTGGTTTTCTTAATGCCACGGTTCTTTCCAAAGGTGGAATGTTGTGCGAACTGGGTGGCTCTTCCCAATGATAGATGGCGTGACAACCTTCTTAAGGGTTTGAGTCCGTTTTTCTTTTTATTTTTAGTAGTTTGTAGTTAAGGGTACCTCAAGCAAAGCTTCACTTGGGCCTAACACATTTGCCTTTGATCTTATGGTCAAAAACAAATTGTTGTGTTTAAGATGGTGAAAGTCGTGACCTTGAGACTCTTGTGTTGACCGATAATCAAGTGGTTTTTCGGGACCATTGTGTGCTCAAATCGTATCTAAGGTTGTTATGGGCCCCCGACTCTATGTCTTTAGCAATCCCCTAGCTTGTGTGGTGAGTAATTGAATTGCGAGTCCAAGTCCCGAGCCATTGGTCTAAAACTTGCCCTGAATGTTCGTTGAGGCAAAATCCTAAGTGAATTTTGACTTGAGGCATGATTATAGGCTCTCGTTGATCCAAATAATAGATTTAACAATTCCATAGCCTACCAATGATAAGATCCCTAGTCAACCCCTTTGAGCCTTAGACCTTTTTCTTTCAAGAACCATGATACAAGCCTATAACCGTTCTAAAAGATACCCTCTCTTGGCACCCAAATCTTTCCTTTAGCACATGGCAAAAGTATAAGTTTGGGGGGAGAAACGAGGATTGCAACAAATTGGTAAAAAGGCACAAAAGTGAAGAAAAGGAAAGGCAATGAAAAAGAAAGAAAAGCAAAAAAGGCAAAGAGAAAGTTCAATGTGAAAAAGAATGAAAAGGGATCCAAAGAAGCAAAGAAAGAAAGGTGTGGAATGTTGAAAAAGGAGAAAAGGTTTGAAATGCATAAGAAAGAGTGACAATGTGTCTCTCTAACCCCTTAGAATGAAATGAAATGACTCAAAGAGTCAAGTAAATTGTGTCAAATGAATAAAAAGAAGTGCTTAAAGGAAGATGGAACCCACTTGAACAAAAACTTGTCCTACCCTAAACCAAAAGCCTTCACAGTGACTCCACAAAAGCCCTATATGATCTTGAGTCGAATGAAGCTTACATTAGTGGATACTTACATAAGGGGCAAGCATATGGTACTTAGAGCCGTACTTGTGACCTTTCCTTGAGAGAGATGAGAGAATTCCCAATAACCTCGTTTTGTGTGCCAATATTCTAAAGGTGAGGTTTGCTTAGGGAGAGTTGAGGATGTGTGAGTTTGGGTTCCACAATGACCAAAGTAATTGAAAGAGTTCTTTGATGTATTGAGTCAACTCTGGATGCTCTTGTGTCGCACTTGATCCATGGTTTTTCAAAGGTTAAATATTGTTAATGACTCATGTGTGTCGAGGGCAATTGTTAGTCCCAATTGATGCTAGTTGAGGTTGCTTTAGGAAAGCTAAAAATTTCTTGGATTTTTCCTTAAAGGGTGGGTCTTATTTTGTTTGCTTGAGGACAAGCAAAAGCTTAAGTTTGGGGGAGTTGATAAGTAGGGATTTTGACGTGTTTCATGCTCCTTCTTGCTTACGCTTTGGTTATAAATTCTTACAAAATAGTCCCAAAAGGCTCATAATTTGTGCTTGATTGCAGGTTTGATCAACAAAGTGACGAGATGTCAAAGATCGGCTCAAAAGGAGTGAAACCTGCACAAGTACCAAAGACAAGACAACTCAGGACAAACAGGCCTAGTGCGGCCGCACTACACTTTGTGCGGTCCGCACTAGGGAGATTTAGAGACCTAGATTTTAAGGCATCAAAGCAGTGCGGCCGTAGTAGATATTGTGCGGCCCGCACTAAAGACACCGCGGCCGCACTACCATTTTATGCGGTTCACGGAAGCAAACTTCAAAGAGATGTCAAGTGCCAAGGTTCAAGCCTGTGCGGTCCGCGGTCCATTCTGTGCGGTCCGCGGAGCCTGGGTTCAGATAGTTGATTTTCCAGAGTCAAGAGCCTAGTGCGGCCGCACACCATTTTGTGCGGTCCGCACTGACCCCGCAGGGGAATTTTTGTCCAGTTTTTCCAGCTTAGTATAAATAGAACATTTTTCCATTTTTAGGGCATCAGCTATTATCATATATTACAAGACGGTAGCTGAGCTCGTGAGACGATATTTCTTAGCCATTGTTGGCATCTTTACGTAGTTTTCATCATTGAAACTTTGTATTTACTTTAGTAATTAATTAACATGTCTTTCTCTTCATCTATTTCTCTGATTTTATCTTCAAGCATGAGAAAAAGTTATGACTAGTTCTTCTGAGATGCTGATGTGTCACTTATGTTCTTCTTGGTAATGCCATTAAATTTATTTGCTCATACATTGGTGGCATTTGCATCTTAGCACATATTTTCATCTTTCTGCTTCTCTGGAGCTGAAATAGAGTGCAATAGTGAAGTATGTAAGTCAGGTCTAAACCTTGTATTTCTCTCATAGTTATGTTGTACTCAGCTCATGTATATCTGCAATCTGATCTTAGATTGATGATATCCTTATTTCAAGAATGTGATGTACTTGTTTCATGTTTGCACCTCTCACTATAAACAGATATGCAACTCAGGCTCTGATATCTATTAAGCTATTCGCAAAAGCTTCTCAATAACCTTTGTCAATCTGCATTTAAAAAGTAACGCTTCCTATATCAGTATCATGAAGTCATACACATTATACTCATTGTGAGGGACCGTGGAAGCAGCCACTAATGCTTGCATTGAGGTAGGCTGTCTACATCACACTCCTTGGGGTGCGGCCCTTCCTCGGACCCTGCATGAATGCGGGATGTCTTGTGCAGCGAGCTGCCCTTTTTTTTACACTCACTGTTTTGGTTGTAATTGCCACTATTATATATTGTTCACATTTTCACATTCATCTCATCAAATCCAAATCCTACAAATTAAAGTTTTGCTCAGTGAGAATGTAAAATGAAGTGTCCGCCATGAAGTAAAGTGGAAGTTGGCGTTTTTTGCGCTATTGAATTATGCAGAAGAATTTATGATCGAGAGAAATTGATGGAAAGACAGATGTGCTTAAGAACTAGCAACTCACTTAAAGACAAGCACAATTCTTTCTGTTTGGATCTTAACTTGTGTATCTAGCACAGTTCTAATTGGTAATGGAGTTTACATGTAATGGACTAATGGTATGTGTTTTATGTTACTGCAGTGGTTGATGGGCTTCTTGAGCTTTTGGCACAGAGGAGAAGTACGAATGACAAGAATACGCGTTCTTCCTTGGCATGTATTCCTCGGCCTTTATACATATGGCTTAGCAGTGGCAACGGCAGAAACAGGACTTCTCGAAAAGTTAACCTTCTTACAAACAAAAGGAGCTGTGCAGAAACGTTGCACAGAGTCGATGATCGTAAATGGTATGGGACTCGGTTTAGCTCTCCTCAGTGGCATGGTAATATATGCTGCTGTTTTGCCAAAGCATCAGACACCATATTCTAAGACTATTTACTCTAGTAATAAGCTACATTCTTAGTTTTGCACATTGCTGCATACTGAGAATTCTCATGTAAATATTTCTTTTTTTATCGGTTGTTTTTGTAAATGAAGAAAGTTCGTAAGTTCCTTTTTTTCCCTATCTTTTTGCAATTTGGCAAGCCAGAATCTGCAGAGAGTAATAGGTATTTCACAATCAGATCTACCTATACGTACAGTAACGATATTAATTATGAAGGCTTGCTGGGTAATCGACTTGGTTCTTCTTTAGTGTGCTTGGCACTGTCTGGGGAAAATTTCATAGGTTATTACTCTGAAGTATCTAAACTAAATTTTATAACTAGCCAAAAAATAGAGATTCTAATTATATCAAACTAGTATTAGTACCCGCGCGATGCGCGGACACAAATCATGTCGGATTGTGATTTAGATTATTTGAATTATGTATAAATAACTTTAAATTATAAACCTTCCAAATAAAATTTATAGATAATCATTAGATATTAATTAAGAAGCAAGACATGAAATCATTTCGCAAATCTCATAGTGGATAACCTGTTTTCTTTTTCTATATTTATATAATCCAATAGGTTAATTTTAGTACTTGAATTTCGTTTCGTAATCAATATTAAAAATTACTAACTATGTCATGTGGTAATTTGTCTCGTTTGAACATATTAAATTATATTATTTTAATAAAATTCTCAGTATTAGTTTATTTTTTATCTCAAGCTTAAATAAGTCTTATTCTTTTAAATTTTACACAATTTTTTTCTTTACTTATAATTATTATATTATTTATTATTTAACATTATTATACTTTCATATGATTTTATCGGCTTACTAATTGACTTAATATTTTGCTTATTATCCTTTTAATAATTATTGATAAATATTATTTTTTTATTCTTGAAATTTAATATATTTTACGCTTTTATCCTCTTACTTGAAACTATTTTACTATTTAAATCTATAAATAATATTTTTGAATATTATTCAATTATTTACTTTATTTTATTTTTAATTAATTTAAAGTATAAATATTCTCAT